AATTTTTATTTTTTGTCTTTTTGCTTTGTCTACTTATATAAATATTCGTCGTATGTATCTTATGCTCAGTATTTGTTGATTTTGTTTCGACCTTTTCAAATACCTGTCACAATTGTCAACTGAACCATTGTTTGATGACACTAGACAAATCTACATCAGGAGCATGGAATCCTGGGTGGTTGTGCTTTTTAAGGTTATGTTTGTCTGTTAATGTTGATGTATCCTTCTATTAAACTACCTGAAAGTGTTTGACTGAGATTATTCATTCAAGGCAATATAATACATTATTTTCGATACTCAGTATTCATCTTTGATACATTTTATTCTCGCAAGTATGTTTTTAGTCTGGCTTATACACTATTTATTCGGATTCCACGTTTTCTGGAACTGATCTCTACAGATAATTATTTTATTCTCTACTCTCGTAATTCTGCAAATAAATAAGGTGGTTCACTTATTGTAGGTGCGTCTTCATAGCGTCGGTGGCATAGCGGTTAGGACACTCGCCGACCATGCACATGGTCCGGGTTCGATCCCCGGCCAACGCACTCCTTTACCTCACTAAGCCAGAAATAATGCTGGTGAAGAGGAAAGGTTGGGCATGAGGCTAGCTACCACATCCTGTAAAAATAAAACACCACTGCCACAGAAACTTCAAGCCACTAGCTTGAAGCCCTATGTTCCACTGGGGAACGTGAAGGAAAAAGTATGAGTAGTTAGAAACTACTCACTCTAATCACCACTTGATGGCCAGATAGAATTTATCGAAACACTGAAGAGACAAGTGCAGTCATGGATACATGTTACACGTGTTTGCCAATTCAATCCTCTAAGGGTCAACGGAAGTGCATGTTACAAGATAGAGCAAGACATCCTTCTGTTGCTGTTGGTATTTGACAGTGTTACGACCTCTTGAAGTTCCGACTACCATAACTTCCGTCAGACTGGAAAACTTAGGGATACAGAGCACTAGATTGATAAGAACTCAGTTCCACACAAGGCGTCAACTAAGTTCTGCAGATTTGTAAGCCTTCGACTGCTAAGCACTTCTGAAGCAGTTGCCACAAAACATTCCAACCCAATTTGTGATCAGAAAATGTTTGTCCAGTCGGTCTCCCTCCTGTGGACCTTCACTCCCTAACTAGAATAGTTTCCTCTCCTGGTGATAACTGTTGTTAATATCTTTATCTTTAATGTCACCTGTATCTTTTTATCATCATCATCACGTGGTGTGGTGAGAGCAGGCTGCTAGCCAATTGGTAGACATCAATTTACGTCAATGCCTAGGACACTAATATTGGCCGTGAGAAAATATGAACAAGGCTGATTCAACAATCAATCACAGCAGACTTAACGTGGGCAAACAAGATTCGCAGATATATGGATTAAATTTCCGAGAAACCAGAAACAATCAATCAGAAGACTGTGTTTGTCTGCTTGAATAAGCTAAAATAATGTACATGATGAATATATTTATACATAAAAACGTGCTGATTTCCGTAATAAAACGATCTGTTTCCGGCCCTTGTCTTCAGTTTTTACAATGATATTACAATTCTACCTTTCGATCATGGCTCCGAAATTTATTATCAAACCAAAACTGCATTACTTAGCCACTCTACCAGACAGTTACTTTTCCCCTACATCCCTACAAATATACACATTCACAATGATTGACGCTTGTGTAAACTTATTCTTGTTATAATAATTACAATCAACTCGATTATTATGCACTGATGCATATGCTTGAACTTTAACTCCATCAGTATCGCTATTCACAAGGTAATTCCCAATTCGCCATTTAAACAACTCGTGGTGAAATTCCAACAGTTTCCTAAGGTGGTCGAGATTATTCAGATCACAAAGTGTGATCTGCTTGATGCCATAAATAGCAGTCAACCTGAAAATTTCGAATTCAGTTCAATCTATTACCAATTCGTCTAGGTAGCTAGCTGGAATTCGGATGGTTTTAACTGACTTGGTTCTGATCTGAGTAGGATACATCACTGACGACCTCGACACTGGACAGGCGAGACTTTGTTCCGTGTTTAGATCACCTCGATCTGAATAATAATCACCACCACTGATTGTTGCCAGTGGTGTCCAACTACTCATGTCAATCAATGAATCAATCAATAGTAAGTAGCGGCATGCATAAATTCGAACTTTATTTCTACTGACCGAATTGGCATTAAATGTTTGGGATTAATAAGTTCACTATCCAATTGTAAAGCCTAGTGAGAAGTCACTGCGCTCTCAAATTTAGTGAGTTATCAATTCTCTGACTTCAGTCTATTAGGTACGCCACTGATGAGCTCGGTGCCAAACGAACGAAAAAGTTGTCCGGCGTTTAGATCAATTCTATCTGGCTAGTAGGCACTACTGATTAACGTCACTGATTCCCGACTACTCATATCAATCCACAGTATGCACCATTATGCCTTCTCATTAGCTTTCTTCATTGTCATCTATGGGATCAAGCTGACCGAATATTGTGATGTTAATATTAGGGGGTTTCCATTGGAAACACCGTGAGTTTTCACCTGGAGCTGGTGAATTCGCAAATGTAACTGGATCAACTGTGGCTTCGCTGGACGTAGTCTCTCTATTCGCCAATGTCACCTTAACGGAAACTGTATACTACCTATATGAGTCTATTGACTCGAACAATCTAAATTTTGACATATCCACTGAGCATATCACACAAATAACACTAAGACGCACCCACCAAATGTTCAGTTTTTATTCAATAGTCAAATGCACGGCCAGAAGGATAAAGTGGCGATGGATTCTCTACTTGGTCCATTGCTTTATGGCGTACCTTGAGGCATATATCCTCCTACCAGAAATCAAACAGTTCGAAGTGTGCAATCGGTATATAGATGATATATTCCTCATCACCCATGAAAATACTGACCTCAACAAAATCCTGTAAATCTTCAGAAACTCTCACTAATCAGTCGAACTGAAAATTGAAGCGGAATCAAAAAGTAAATTACCCTTCCTAGATGTCCAACTTACAAGACGATCAGATGGAAGCCTACAAAGATCAATTTACCGGAAGCCAAAATGGAATGGACAGCTGACAAACTATTACAATTTTGTTCCGATGAACAAAAAAGAAATCTCATCGCATCATCTTGTGCACAGTAAACAAGCACTATGATACATACCTAGATGTTACCTTCCTTCATCCAATACTCTTAAGGCGAGATTCATTGAAATTAAACACAAAATTAAAATATGTTAAACAGGCATTACTACCCAGTAATTAATCGCCAGAATACATTGAAATGTTAGTGAGATGTGATAAGGGGAAAATTAAAGACTGAGTGACCGGAAGATGAAGTCCAGAGCTCCTATGTTGCTGCCGTAAAGTGAAAGGATAACAAAGAATTTCATCGTCTCCTTAAAGAAACTGAAATTAGAGCAGCTTTATATTCACTAATTATCTAAAGACGAAGCTGCATTAATCGTCAGAAGGGCGAAATCATTCAGCCTATAAAATGTCACATAGTCATCTTGTGGTGAGGTATAAAGGCTGAAGCAGTCTAACGGAGTCAGCCAGAAAATCTGAGCACAAAAGAACCACTAATTATAGACTGAGAGATCCTCAAAAAATACATCATCAGGAAAAATCACGGTTTCCCTAATTCGTGGGCTGACGCTCGGTATGATAGGATAAAGCATAAGCTCTGAAATCTAATATAATCAGTACAAAATAGATCGCGGAGGCTTTATTAATCTACACCAAACACACACACACACAACTGCGATAACTGGAAAGCCATTAAAGGTATTTAGAAAATTCTGTTGTCAATAAACCTGTCCTCATAAATGGAAATAATGTTTGTAGGCTTAGAAACGCTGCATGATTCTGAGGAATGTCAAAAATATTTTCGATGGGGTCGTGTCACTGAATTCATCTGTCTATCTGTCTCATTCGACTGCTCTACTTTGGATGGTCCGGTGAGATACAGAAGCTCTACATCTTGATTGAACTTTAACGCATATATATCGTATGACTTCCTCAGTGGTCCAGTTAAAGTTGGAAGGATGCCTCGAAACTCATTCCTCTGCAGCAGTTATTCCCTTACTTTTAGTCTTATTCTGATGTGTAGAATACTGTGCAGCATCCTTATGCTCCGATAAACACTTACTCAATTAGCTTCCTATTCAGAACGAGGTGAGATAATTACAGAAAGAAACAACACCTACATTCTTATCAGCAGTTTATGGACATCGATTTCGAATATTCTGTCGGACAAGAATTCTCAAATTGAGTTGTATTTAAGGAATTGTATGAATGCAATTATGCATTCACTGACTCAACTTCAGTTAATTTGTGAATAGGTCAGTTATCCAAAGAAATATTAACTTGAATCACATCCCTCTGGTCTTTTGTCAAAGCAGTTCAATCAAAACAGTCACAGGAAGCCATGGTTTTGATGAGATTATACCTACAATTTCGTTAGATAATCAAACCATCAGCATGTACTCGAGAAAGGAAATATGACTTGCGAAACCAGCCTCACTGTCATGCACGCATACATTAACTTGAGTCAGTTTGACTCTATTATTCAGACATATTGATATCCTGTGATTCCAGTATGATAGTGCTTTCAATCCTGATTAATAACTTGTTATTTACCTAGTGAGCGTGTTGTCTCTACCCTTTCAAAATGGCCTATGCAATGTGTATTAGTGACTGCATACTTTACAACTTCTCACAAAGTTGCACTCATCTTTGTCTTAAACATCACCATATCACAAATTTCTTGAATAACACACACGGAGTGAAGTATTCCAGCTGAATGATACAAATCTTATTTGAACTACTTCACTGATGTGAGTGAAGGTGACGATTTCTGAGATTTGACACTCATTCCGAGATTACGCTCAAGCCCACAGACGACGAAAATTATGTTAACGCTATTGGAAACAATATGAATACAAATAACTATTTATTTTACTCAACGCGGTTGAAAATAAGTGTTCACCAATTTCGTGTTGCAGGACAAATGAATCAGATAGCCGACTCACATTGCACTAGTGTGAATGTAGACGTCCACCTCAACATTGTTTATTTATCAACTCATTGGAATTGAGAATGATTCTTATTATCTACTTGACACTAATTTACACTGCGAAGGATAGATTGGAGATGATCCTTGGGAAGTGAATGATGACTCATCGTCAATGTATTTTGAAATCTGAGAAAAATAAAAATAGGAGTAAGTCATAAGAATAGGTGATACAACACTGCAAATATGTATCGTGTAGAGAGATGAGTGGTACACAAACACATCAGTAAGTAAAATAGTAAAATCACGCATATACGAGGTGTTACAAAAACCCCTTCACAGAAAAGACTTCCACTGTCATAAATAAATTGAGATTCACAAAGATAAATGAAAACAAATATTACGACATTTCGGATGGGAAAGGAATATACTACCTACGACAGGAGAATAGATGACATTCAATGTATGCAGAAGTGAATCAAATCCGGAGACACATTTCACGTACATTCACTCAGATTGTAACACAAGTTTGTCCGACTTATCTCCACTAACAAACATGAGTAGATTTGCAGTAACCAACCCATTTTGAAAGACACTCCAGATCGGCGATAAAATGTCTATTCCTAACTGCCCACTACTGATTCAAAATGCCTACTTGTCTGAGTAATTAATCAAGCACACTTCCTGGAGAAGTCATGTAATTACTGCTCCTAGCCACTAATATCCGAATTTGTGCAAGCGAAAAAATGAACATCAGTGCGTGGACTTACCTCGGAGAATCTGGTATTATCACCGCTCACTGCCATCTGAACACTCCTATCTGTCTTCCTTAATGGGCATATTCGACTGATAGGTTCCACAGACACGTCTCGCACTTTCAATGTTCTAAATCTCCTTGTCAAGTCCACATTCACATCGTCTTGTGCATGCTAAAAAAGAATTTTATTCACCGATGAAAAATGTAAATGCATGCGCCAGAGAAGTAAACCAGGGTCGAATAGACTACTGGCTCACTAGACTCTAAATGTTCATTAAAACATGAAAAATTCAGAAAGATGGTCAAATAAAGCTGTACACGCGGTCAGTGAAACACAATCATGGGAACAGTGTTTCTGACGCTGGCCCACTACATTCTGGATATGAATTCGAGTGAAATTTACTACTACTACTAACAATAATTTCCACTTTATTCCAAAACAGTACTAATTATACAGTGTGGAATTTTCAGCATTTGGTACAATACTGCATCCAATTTTATTTATGAACGCTAGAAACAATTACAGAGATAATATTACAGGATTGTTGATGGCAGTTCATATTTGGTATTTGTAGTGACAGTGAAGTCATTTTATTATTGTTGTAGTTAGAAAGACATGGAATCATCTCCACAGTTACAAATTCGTGTAATATAAATGTCTGTCGACAATCACATACATGTGCATACCCCACAATGAACAGTGCCACTTTTCATTGATTAGCGTTCCGAGTAGGACATAGGGCTTCAAGCTTGAGCTCTGAAGTTTCAGTAGCGAGGTGGCTTTTCAGGGGTGAGATTAATGGCCTCATGACCAACCTTCCTTAATCACCGAACCTACTATCTGTTTAGCAAGGTTTAGGATTGCTTCGACCGAGGAGCGAACCTGAAATAAGCAAGGGTCAAGTTGGTATGCCGTCCAAATGGTGCGTACTACAGGACTGATCCCTGGAAGAACAATCCCATTCCCGAACTCAGTATTTCACGTAGAACTGTTTACACTGAGGTATTCGTTGAGAAATGTGAAGTATTTATTCACGGGTCCCTCTATGCAAGAAAGTTATATCCACAGCTTCCTGCTAAACGTCCTTAACCAAGTAAAATCACAGTTCAGCTCACTTCACAGAGGACTAAATCACATTGGCAATCATTCAGCCTCCACTCAGTCAACATGTGTTTCCGTTCAGACTGTAATCACCTACTGACACCACCAGGAGTATTACGTAATTTTTAATTTCCCAATATTCCACCTGGTTGGACTGTGAGAACATTCACATTCTCATGCCTCCTTTATAAGTTACTTCACTCTTCGCATTGTCGACTATTCACCACTTTAGAAAGACGTCATTATTGTCATTACTACTGCCGTTCATCGTGTAATGTTCACCTCATGTGGTCGATATATGAGTCATTACGAGTAGTTGAAGTTGTGAATTCATGAACATTTGTGTGTAGATATATATGTGTATATGACTCGAGAGATGTACAGACTGATGAGAACATAGTGGGAAGGCGATCTGTCTGGTAAGATGGTATCATCATTCTTTATAACATATCACAATGCTGCCTCTAATCTTATGAGACTTTTCAATGAAATGTCAGGAGAGTTGCACAGTTTTGCCATCGATACTAAAAGTATGGAGGTGATGATATCCAAGAGGCACAAATCAATAATTTGCAATGGCGTACAAGTGGAGCAAACAAATATTTGAGTTGTTGGAATGCCACACCTCATTGGTACCAAAGACACCACGTCGAATTCAGAAAGCCGACGCACCGGAAGTCCGTAGAACTGCAAATATTCCCTTTCCTATCTTTCGAACAAGTCACTTTGAAATAGATAAATGAATATATAAATAAGCAAAACATGATAAGAATGCATCAAAGACATGCGTACCATCAATTCCTCGTGTCAAACTCATTTCAAACAAGAAACCAGAATGTCGTAGACTTGCACATATTCCCTTTCCTTCAACCGAACATGTTCCACCAATACTTGAATTTACAGTTGTCCGAGTATCGCTTGCTACTGATTAACTCAACGATTCTTCACACAGGGAACTATTTATCCTCCATTCACACTGTGGTAATGCTCTTTATGTCGAGGAGCAAGGGAGAAATGACTCAGCTTCACTACTGAATCATTTCGAACGAAAAATCTACAACACAAAAGTTAGTTCTTGTGTTTCCACAGGTTAGGTTGATGCCATGTTGGGGAATTGTGACAAGTGGACTTCTCATTATCGACGGTAGGACAGAGAGAAAGATGCATCCAACATATGAAACAGGTTTCAGCACAATATATTTTCCACCAGTCCCATACATTTCGTTGGCTTCTCATCATCTGCTTACAGCCTAAATAAATTTTGAGGTTCAAGTACAGAAACGTGTTAACATACTTGCAAATTTTACATGATGTCAGTTGACAGAAAGTTCCACAATTAGTAAACAGTGCTCAGAAAATTGCGCTTATATAGTTTTTACATGGGCAGTTCAAGTTAAAACAAAATAAATGTATGTATATAATGGTAAGGGAGTTACATAATTAGGATGAGATGTGCGTTAGATGCATAGTGACTAATAAGTTAGGTAACAATGCACTGAGTTGAACTCAAATCATGGAAACACGAGACAAGCAAAATTATAGATTATAAAAGGAGGGTGAGGTTAAAGACAAAGATTACGTAACCAGGTGAGAGAAAAAAAGACATCCAGTTACCAAGGCAAGGAAAGACTGATAACTGCCTCTTTCTGAACACATAAATCTGGTTTCGAGCGTTTGATAGAAATTGCTTCGGCAATTCTCAAGTTTGCCGAAATCCTTCAGTTCATTCGAACCGTAGTCTGTTGGGGCGTAAGCGGAGGCTACGAAAAGGCAACTACGGGTAGCGCCATCTATCCTTCTTTTAACGGCCCCATTCAGATGCAAACATTCATCTATCTACTGGGATCCATTCAAGAAGTGATTTTTCCACCCTAACGCTCAGCACTATTGCAACACTTGCGGGTCCTCGCGAGCTAGGTGAGGGGTCTCCTGGCACCCTTAAAATGCATTTCACAGATTCACCTTGTTGGCCGAGTAAGGCTAAGTAAATGACCACACTCGGCTCTTGTATGCACGTCCACGAAACACAATATACATCCATGACTCGAGTTGCCAGAGTTCTTGTTAGCGATGCCTGTTGTCCGAAATGGGAGAGGGTCCTGAAGTTAAATGCTCCAATATAAGTTGGCGACGTGGCTTTAAAAGGACATCTGGGTGTTTCTGTGGTTCTCACCATTATTCATGGTCACGGAGTGAAGTGAAGGGGACTCATTAGACTACAGAATAGTAATAACTATAGTAGAGAAGCAAGATGAGAATGGTGATGTGAGTGAAGAGGAATGATGCTCAGGAAGGCTTCGAGTGCTTTCGGAAATGTGTGGGCAGTTGTTACTCCCCGGCTGACCACATCGTGGAAGTTGATCGATTCTTCGGTTAAATGAAACAGAAAGAGGTTTGGGGTTGCGTGACTGCAGAGCCCTGAACACAACTGTTGGAGGCCAGGATTTTTTGGGCCCATATTTTCTAATCCATTCTCTCTAGAGTGGAGAGAGAATAGCTGGTATGCTGGTTATCTGAAGGAAACACATCACTAGTGTTACTAAACTGTTCACCAGCAGTACGACAGTCCAACAGTCATCCTAAAAAAATTACAGGCATGAAAGGACCAGCAGGTATATATGATCCGGCCAGCGATTTCTTGGGTTACCGCGACACGCGGGAACGTTCAACACGTTAAGGTAGGAGCTACCGACGGAATGGCTAAAGCAATAGTCTCATAATACGATAGTGAATCTCCACTTCACATACTAAGCTTAACGTACGTTAATCCGAATTCACGTATTACAAAAGCTCATAGGATAGCAACGCAAAAAAGTTCAGAACCAGCAAAAATTAAGAGTATATTAAACAGTTTATTACATTAAAAATGAAAACTTTGATTCCCTGATCTGGTTTGCATTGTTCTAAAGACAATGTATTTTCAACAACGTTGCGTGCTGCCAATTCACCACAGGTTCTTCTCGATGAACGCTCAGTACTGACCATTTCAGTACGGGATTTTCTATTTGACGTTAAATACTGACCAGTTCAGTACGGTCTCGATCCCTTTAGCGTTATGTACTACGTTAAGTACTGCGTTAAGTACTGACCAGTTCAGTACGGGATTTTCTTCAATGACAATTCCTCTTTCGTTAAGTACTG